TGTATTTGAATTACACAACCATGAAGATATACATAATATTCCCAATATGATTCCTCAAGTCCACAGATATGGAGTTCAAAAATAATTCAGAATTTAATCTTTGATTTATAAATTTTTATTTTATGTGTGTGGATATAATGCCTGACCTGTATGTTAGTGCAGTATTTGCATACCTGTTTCTCATGGCAGTCAGAAAAGGGTATTAGAAACTAGGAACTGTAATGGCAAATAGGTGTAAGCAGTGATGTGGTTAACAGGAATCAAACCCTGGTATTTCAATAACAGGCAGTGCTCTTAATCACAAAACTGTCTAGACACAGTGGTTTTTAAACTTCCTAGTGCTATGACCCTTAATGCAGTTCCTCATGTTTTGATGACCCAAAACCATAAAATTACCTTTGTTGCAACTTCATAACTGTAATTTTCCTACTGTTACAAATTGTAAAGTAAATATCAGATATTCAGATGGCCTTATGCAATCCGTTAAATGTCACTCAGGCCCCCAAAAGGTCAAGAATTCACACGTTCTAGAGTCTTGATCTCCCAAAATATTTTTCTTTAATGAGAAGTTATAAGGGAGGAAATGAAGGATAAATTTAACAGGACATATGTATGTGCCCAATTCTCAAACAATAAAAATAAAATTTAAGAATAGTTTTATTTATTTACTTGCTTGTTTGTTTGTCTTTAAAATAGTTTCTGTGTAGTTTCTACTGGACTCAAACTTTTATCTTCCTGTGTCAGCTTACAGAATGTTACTTTTTTTTTGCTAACATTACCACATTAATTTCATTTTAATGTAGGTAATTCTGGTATCATATGACTGCCTATTTCTCAAGTAGATTTGTTAATGCTATCGCATAGTCAAATTTTTCCTTGTATCTCCAATCCAGTTTCTTCCTGGAAGGGTTTTCAGGGCATACCATCTAGCTGAATATCACCAAATGGCCAAGGTTTCAAAGGCTTACTACATCCCAACATCCCTTTAGATGGATAGGTATGATACTGTATAATACATAAGCAAACACACATCCATGTACTTTATCAAAAATATAATCAAGAGAAAACATGGTTGAGTGGACAAAGTGTGTTCTTTGATGTGTATTAGAGTGACCTTAAATATTGTCAATCATTTACTATCTATGGTAGCATAAAATTCTTATTTTGTGTTTACAATTTTGTCTTTCACATCTATAAAGTGGATAAGTGGGCATGTTGGTAGTAAATTTCTTAAAGGTTTTATAGGATAAATAGATAGATAGATTCTTGATATAGACATAAACAGACATAGATTATTATAAAAGGTAGATTGTTTAAAATATATTTGTTGGTCAAGGCATGTGAGTGCAGCCTTTTAATCCCAGAATTCAGGAGGGAAAGGCAGGTGGATTTCTGTGAGATTGAGTCCATCCTTATCTACACGTCAAACTCTAGGACAAGGAGAATCACATAATGAAGAGACTTTGTCTTCAAAAAATGTATTTTCCCCTAATACGTAGTTGTATAAACATACACATGTATGACAGATAAGTAGATAAATCTGAAACAAAACACAAAACTGATCTAGATTGAGGAATACATTGAAAATTGCTTTGCCTATAGTGTTAGTGAGAGCCTTACTCTCACCTGTTCATCCCTATCTCTCATTACACAGAGTTACTGGAACAGCTGGCAGCAGATGGGACAGAATTATGACCATGGTTACACAGCACTACTACACAGAAGAGAAACACTGTACACTCTATTCATGGCTAATGTCATGCTTTCATGACTCCAATGCTTTAATTACTGAATTAAATAGTTATATTCCCCTAAAAACAGCTGGTCTAGTTTCTAGAAGTACCTTTTAGACATCCTACACTTAGAAAGCTTTCTGCAGGCATGGGTACATTTGAGATTACTTAATGGGTGGGATTTTCTAACAACTGTCTCCCAGGAAATAAAATGCCAATCTTCTCATCACCTTCTTATTCCCGTTTCTGAAACAGAGAGATTGACCCTCCTGTCTCCAGCTCCTGAAATATTTTCTGCAGGAGAAGAGAAAAGGCACATTTTAAATAATATTTTTCTAGCACTTACATAGTTGCAAAGTTTCTTTAACAAAACACACACGTACACACACGACAAGACTTCTGGAGAAAAATAACATTTTCATGGTCCCATAATTGTTGTTCATAAGCAAACATATACATATACTGTCCCCACTTTTAATGGTGTTCTCAAAATCTGGGAGAGATAAGAGTGACATCTGGAGCTGTGACAAGAGGAGGGCGTGGGGAATGAAAGGCCTTTGGAGCATAGTTGCTTTCACAGTGATGCTGGCTTTGGCAAAATATCAGTTTTTCTTATTCATTTGTACCTTCTCTGAACAGTCATCCAAACAAAATGGAAAAAGCATAAATGTTATGAGTTATTATTCCAAGTTCAGTGGACAGATTAAGTAGCTTGACCGCTTTATTTCTGTTTTTGTTTTCTGAAATAGACTGGAGATGATTCTAGCTTTTTGTATTTATTTTTAATATTTTAATTGATAATTTCATTTTCAATTAAATTCATTTTTTAAATTGAATTCTTTTAAATATTACATAAGATGCAAGACTTTTACTGAGTGTGTGATTGACATTTATCTCTAGATGGTCCAAGTACATATTTGCATTTTTTTGTATCAAATAGAGACCTTAGTTCATATTAAAAATCTGAAATGCAAAATTTTAAATGTATCCTAACTCCTTAATTTACATTTGTTTTGTTCATGGGCCATACTTTACACATTTAATCACACACACACACACACACACACACACACACACACACACACAAACACACACATTTAATATTGAGTCACACCAAAGTCTCTAATGTCATATGTACTGTGAGGTAAAAATTTTAGCTCACAATTACAGAGCTGAAGAATTAATTTTTATTTTTGCTTTATACCATGTAATTAATGTTATTATATTTTTATGCCACCCTTGAATTAATTCATATATATTATTTATTTATAAATTCAATTTTCCCTAGGAAAATTAAAAATGCACTGGAGTATGTGGACTATATGTAATTCATTTTATTATCCACAAATAACACATTATTGTATACCTGGAGTAAATATGCATTTCAGTACACATACAAACACATTCTAAGGTATAATATTAAGAGTTACTTAGGTATTTAAAATACCTAATGGACTTTCACAATTTTGAGGTGTCCTAGATTTTGTCACTTTTCTCAGTCACTTGATTTTATGCTACACTTTTCACTCATGGAATCCAATTAAGATGGCATATTATTGAACAGGCCTTAAATGGTTTCCAGAGTCTTTACTATCTATTCAGATGAAACAATGGGATCTCACATCCATAAAGCATATATATGTGTGTGTGTGTGTGTGTGTGTGTGTGTGTGTGTGTGTGTGTATGACTTACCAAAAAATGGTAGGCATTAAGATTTACACGTTCCTCTGCATGATAAATGATGAATGAAATTTAAATTTTTATCACAATTACAATGCTAAAAAGTTTTCATTTACATGAAGAAAAGGAGCAACCTAGTATAATCTGAAACTGTGGACTCAAAAGATTTCTTAATATTAAACCATGCTTGGCAACTGAACAGATTCCTCTGGGAAATGTGTTGGGAACATGTCACTTTCATTTTTCAATGGTATAAAAGCATTCAATAGTATTTATAGAAAGAGACAAGGTACCCCGTCAGGATCATGTGGATGGAGAGGCCCAAAAGGTCATTTCCAGGATGAGTTATGCTGCTTCCCAGCAGTGGCCTGTCCTTTGTACTGGTATTGTGTACTTATTTTCTTTTCCCTCTTATCTCCTTCATACACACAAACCATATATATAAAAAATCAGAGCACATGATGTTTGGATGCCTTTTATCTTTCCTTAAGAAAGAATGAGGCATATGTAAGTTAAGAAATATTGCAGGATATACTGATTTTATGATAAAGAAAAGACAATTTTCAGGGTCTAGCTGCACAGAGGGAAGTTTAGGTCCAGCTGAAGAAGTGATCTGTTTGTGGCATTAGCAATCTTTGTAATCTTACAGCCTCTCTATTTTTGAAGCAATAATCAGTAGAAAAAATGCCAGAAAATACAAGCTAGGAAAGTTTGTTTGGTGAAAGTGGGCGAGACAGATATTTAGGCTAGAGAAACAAAAGCAACACCTGTAAAAGGGTAGCAAAGCAAGATGTTATCAAATATACAGAAAACAATGATTCTCATTATGGCATTTATCCCATCTTTATACTTTAATATTTCTATAGCCCCATTACAGAGAAGACAGTCATACAGACACTTAGGTGTGATCAACCTCACATATACAGCTAATAAGACAGAAGACATTGTGAAAAACTATAAATTAGACAAAATCAAAAGACACAATAACTCTCATGGGGGATTTTCATAATGTCATTTATTTATTTATTATTATTGTCACAAATTGACAGTTTGACTCACTAATCTCTCTTTCTTACAATATTAGCATGATTTCCCAAGCATAGTGCTCAAATTAAATATTAAGCATTGAGCACAGTACAAAGTAATATTAACAAATAAAATATGTGTTTACACATGGACGAGGATACTTAACAACTCTCCTCTAGAGAGAATGTTCAGAAATAGTTTTGGACAAAAGATAATGCCTCACCAAACAGGCAAAAAAAATGTAAAATAAAATTAAAACAATAAGAATTTTCAAAGAAGGAAAATGGGTTGTGCCTCCATGACTTTTAAATCTGCTTGAAACAGTTTTTCTTTCCAACTGGTCTGCAGCACGCTTGATTTAGGAAATGTCTTTCGTGTCCAACTGTTACTGTGCCAAAAGCAGTTCCACATTTAGCTTCAAAGGAGTATGCAGATTTAGCCCTTCCCCCTCTGTTGTCTGCCTTCCTCTCTCCTTTGCTTAGCAACTGATGACTTCATTAGTAGAACTCTGGGTTTAAAATAAAGCAGTTGGTTCCTGCCTTCATTCCAGTTGCCAAACCTTTCTGAGGCAGAAGAAAGAATCAATTCTCCAGACTAGTCGGCTGGTGTGGGTGTTCAGCTGGTTTGCTCTACCACCTCATGAAGGTGGTCTTGATCTCATTTCCACATGGCTTGTACTGAAAATGGGTAAGTATGAAACTGACTATAACTCAGTTTAAATTTGAAAACAAAAGATTATTTGAACGTTATTACTGTATTACTAGGACAGGGACAAGAGGGTTGAGTGTGGTATTGGTGGGGATTACAGGCAAAAATAAAAGAATGTAATTGTACACAAGAGTACTGATTTTAAGAGCCCTAAAGCATTAATGATTTTAAAAGTAAGTTTGAAATAACAGTTACAAAGTCCTAAGCGGTAGAGCTAAGTCATGAGGAAATTATTACTCTAACAGATTCTGATACAGGTTAGAGGAGAAAAAAGTTTTAAGAAAATTTGGTTGGAATATGCAGTGCATAATTGAAAAAACAGAATGTTTAAACAGAAAGACTAAACTTTCTATGACTTCTGAGAAAGAAAGCAATGCCGTGTCCCTGCCCCCACTCTCCAGAGACTTCTCATAACATTTCTGCCAGAGTCTGAATTCTGGGCTTTTGGGTTAAAAGATCTTACAAGGACTTGAAAGAGCTGCTGATTTATGTCAACTACGAAGCCATCTAGGCCATATAGGCACTTTTTTTTTTACTATCTTTGACTGATAAAGAATTGAAAGGGGCACAGGGCAGCAATTATTGGATATCATGTAATCAAGTACTAAAGGGACTTCTGGGTATATGGTGGGTGATAGTAGGCTAAGAAAGTATTTGCTTGACTTCATGGAGTAAAAAAGCCTGTACCCCTTTATTCCCTGTATGTTCCAGGAATTTAATCACATGCTTGAAATATTGACTGGAGAAAGCATTTCCATTTTATTTAAATTTTCATTTCTGGTTTTGCAAGGCGTGGAGGTCATAGCCGTTCATCCATAATGGTACCTGTGGACAAAAATGGAAGCAGAGAGGCTCATCACAATGTGCCGCTCCAGTGTCTGAATTACATGCAGAAGGATGATGAAGATGATGCAGAGATCTGGGGCCACCCTCCTGTCTCCCTGAGACCCCCATTCACAGTGGCAAGAGCAGGAGACCGCATTCCTGAAAATCCAAGAGCTCTGAGATACCCTTTTACACTAACACCTGCTATTGAGGAAGAGTTCCTAGCAACAGCAGAAGTAAACAGCTCAGAGGGCCTGGAGAGTCAGAGCAAGAAGGGACATGATTCAATTAATATGTCCCAGAAAGTCTCTGGAAGTCCAATGGCACTGATGATCGGAGGCCCAAGAGTTGGTAGTGGGGTTCTTGAGAGAAGTGGCAATAGCTCAAAGCTATTTATGCCTGTGCCTAGATCCCAAGAGTTCTTTCCACCAAGGGGCCCACAGACACGGGGCCCTTCGTATGTCCCCATCCTTAGATCGGGGATAATGATGGAGGTGACTCCAGGAAATGGCAGAATGTCATACAAGGGCAGCCTGGCTCATGTCTCTTTCCCACTGGGAAGCCCAAGGCACCCTATGGATAACTGGCAGCAGAGACCTCTCCATTTGTCAAGCAGTGTTCCAGGCTTACCTTGCTCTACTGCTCATTGCTTCATGCCACCTCAACCTCCGGCATTCAGTCCATTTCCTGTGATGCCTACTCCTTTTGCTTCTCCCCTGGGATTTGGTCCTCCTCTGCCTTATTTTTTTCATTATAACACTCGAGCAATGCACCCCCCTCCATACTTAAACTAGAGTGCTTGCAAGAAGTAAATGAGAAAGAAAGGGGTTGGGAAAAGAGCTGAAAGCTACTAATATGTTCATCATATATAAAATTCCCTACTCTCTTACACTTGGTTTAGCACTAACGTGCCTTATGTGTTCAGAGATTTAATAAATATTGCAAAATTTTAAATGTTTTGTTTTCTTTTAAGTCCCAAACCACAGATTTTGTTTTCTATATTTCAGAAAATTAGTGCAGATGTGTAACAGTGTTTCCTACATAGCTCACTTGAATCATTACCACTGTTTGCTACTGACTGGTCCTTCAATATCACTGCTGAAAGGACCAACTGGGACCTTGTTAGGCCAGTTCTAGATTTGGTAATTTCTACATGCCTAAAGATAGGCTGGCTGATCAACTTAAGGTGAGTGCTTTAAAATGTGTTACAGAGGTCGGCTGGAATCCACGGAATCAGGAAACATCCACAAATAGTGTGCATCATATCCAACTTAAATCCATCCTACAGTCTACCTGCACAGAACAAAAAAAAATTGCTAGTCAAATAAAAGAAAAGTCAGGGTAAACAAGAATGCAATCAGGAAGGTAAGAATGGGGAAGCCCTAGTGTGGAGATTCCACTTGAAGGCAGATCAGTCCTTCAAGTTTTCAGTTTTGCTAAGGCAGTAAAATACAAATAGTATGACAAACAAAATTCTGGGGAAAACATTAAGGAGAGTGGGAACAAGGTTATTCATCCTTTCTTAGACTAAAGGACTGTTACATGACCATAAGTTCTAATTGCAAATGTTTTATTGATATATAAGAATTATATTTATTACTGCTGCTGCTATAGCATCATTATTATAATGATATTTGAAAATATATCAAAGCATCCAGGCAGTAAATTTGACAAAATCAAGTAACATTGATATGGGCACATAGGATAAAGGATACAAGGATGGTCATTTTTAACAATGTAATTTAGTATACTCTTTAGGAATATACCATAATATCTAGTGGCACTGAATACAATGACTAAATTGGAAATATTTCCAAAGAACATTTAAAATGATCATGTCTTACATGCAGTTCTCTATGTGAAATAATAGCTAGATGTAGGCATAAACTGTTGATTCAAATGACACCTATTGGAAAGTAAAAACCATTACTATATTTTAATACTAACATTAGGTTCTTTGCTACTGCAACTCCCCCAACAGCACAAGGATTTCTGGTATTTCTTTTTCTCCATTTATTTTATAATAGGTCACAATAAATGTGCAGGCTGTAGTGTAATGATGAGCAGGAACATCTGCATGTTGCTTCATGGCTTTCCCTTCTCTCTGTTTATGACTTGAAGCTGGCAGAATTCCATCAGTTCACTGTGACCAGGTCAACAGGAATATTTTGCAAATTGTTTGACAGCTGCTCGCTATGAGGTAGCTTAGTCTCAGCATTCCAAACACTTATTGAATTTTCAAGCTTACTGAACAGGAGACTTGGGCTTGCTTAATGCTTATTGTCATAAAAATATTTCTGAGCCAGATGTTAAAAGATATTTTGACAAGAAATCAAGTTGTTGTCCTAAAGCCAGTGCTGCCTCTCAACAGAGCTGCCAAAGAGTGTGCTGAATGACAGCAGGCAAGGATCTCCTTTCCTTCTCAAAGGAAGTACTCTGGATACATGCTCAAAAAGAGTCTATGTACAATTACAGTAATCTATAACAAATACACTGTAACAAGAAAGCACCATTGAAACAGTCTGTTCTATTTCAATTCTGTTCCCTCTCTTAAAACTTTTTATGTGTTTATTATTTTCTATGTCATTTTTGAACACAGAACACATAGTAAGCATCAAAGAATAACTACCAGCAAAATGAGGCATTGAGGTTTTATTTTTGCTTCTGCATTACAGGATAAATGTGATTTCTTTAGTTTATTTAGAGCGTGGTGCCCACATAACAGGCTTCAATGAATTCAACTATCAAATAAGCCTCGGGTTCTGCTCTCTCATGCAAAGGAAATAAAAATATTTGGTTTTCTTCATAGTTTCTGTAAAGAATCACCAGACACATTGTTAGCACAGTGAAAAAGATTAAAACAGATGAATTTCCTTAAAATTGCAATTTCTAAATTATTGATTCATTCTGAGCCAATATTAATCCTGCTGTAATATGAAAAGTACTCACAGTGAAACATATTTAACTTTTTTGATCACATACACTTTCTTTCCATCTTGCTCTGTGGTTGTGATTGAGTTGTTCCTAAATGCAAATGAGAAAGATAAGTACCAACAAAGTGAATTTTTCTTCTCATAAAAATGGGAATGGCTTAAGTGTTTTCTATCCTAAGTTATAGTCACTATCACAGGAAGATTCATGTTAAGCTTTTTATTATAGCTCTCTTGGACATACCAAGCCAGACAAAATCCCACCATGTACATAGATGTTGAACATTCAGTATGCCAGTTAGCCATGAATAAATGTTAACTGCTGAGAAAGGGAGAAAGAGTTTACTATAAAAAAATGTATCCCCTGATAAACTGATCATGCTTCTATGAAGAACCACATATTAAAAGGATTTGGGCAACATAAATTAGTTTTGATGGCTTTTTAAATAAATAGATAAGTAAATGAACAGCACAAAAGTTGAAGAGATGAATCTACACTTAAGTGTTCTTACTCTAGTAAAGGGTTCTTTTTTTTTTCTAGGTACCCATATGGCAGCTCACAAGCCTTTGGATCTCCAGGTCCAGAGTATCTGATGCTTTCTTCTAGTCTTTATTGGTATAGTATTGACTCAGTACACTTACATACATTAAGGAAAAAGACACAGACACATACAAATCAAGACTCTTCTTTCTTAATTGAAAAAATGAATTTTATATAATATATTTGGACCAGTTTCCCTTCCCCTACCTTACTGAATATCTTTCCTGCCTACTCACCCACAAAATTTTATGTTCCCTTTTTCTTTATTTAGAAAGCAAATAGGGAAACAAACAAAAATACAAACAAGAAAGTATAAAATAAAAACTAACAAAAAACATAAGAAATACACCAATACATTTTTTAAAGGACACAAATATAGGACAGAGGGAAGGGGGTGTGGACCTAGGAAATGATAGTGGTATGAATTAATATGATCTAAAAATGTTTTATGAAACTCTCAACAAACCAATAAAAATAGAAAAGTAATTAAATGCTTGTGTGCTATAAATTTTCAAGAAACGTAAAAGTAATTCCTAATCTAAGGATAGCAACAAAACAAATAAAATATTTTTCAGTACATCAATTTTTTTAAAATATTTATTTATTTATTATGTATACAATATTCTGTCTGTGTGTATGCCTGCAGGCCAGAAGAGGGCACCAGACCCTATTACAGATGGTTGTAAGCCACCATGTGGTTGCTGGGAATTGAACTCAGGACCTTTGGAAGAGCAGGCAATGCTCTTAACCTCTGAGCCATCTCTCCAGCCCCTTAGTACATCAATTTTGCAAAGAAATTCTAAGTAAAATTTAGTTTACTAAACCATTTCACTGGTTTTTTAAAATTGATTAGTATTTTATGGAAGTAAAATTCACTGTATTCTCAACGGAGAAAAACCCTTTTCTCAAATAATATATGTGCCCAACAAACACATCAGTCCTACAATAAAGGGCTCTGAATATATCACAGTTTGATAATGTAATTTACTATGAACTATATATGGATAACTAGCTTCTTTTAACATTCACATTAAAAAAACTTTGACATTCAGATCATAGTTATTGATGGATGGTGTTTGTGCATGTAAAAAATGGGAAAAACAAATAAAGAAAGACAGAAGATTAAAGATATAGGGGTGGAGATGCTGTCATTTAAGAAGACATGAAATGCTTCAAAGTAGGAACCTGCTGCAAATTTGATTTGATGTGGGAAAATAATAAATTTGGAAGAGGTAGAATGTAATCCAAAGACTTTTTGACTATTTGGAAAGATAATGTGTCATGTATTACGTGCTTCATGATAGAAAAGGGCATGTGTAGAGACCACATATTTGACAGGTTGAGGATTAGGTGGTTAGAGAAACACTATCCAGCCTTCCTAAAAGTGAATATATTTCAGTTGCTTCATTCCTTCCTATAAATATCACCTCTCCTTAGATAGAAGGCAATCTCATATTCCGTATGTGAAACTGGTAGCACTTTATGACTTAAGTTTCACTAATCCCCTAAACTGGCCTTGACAAACAAATATGATATCAAAGTTAGTTTCATTAATGAAGAGGATATGTAATTGTATTAAAAAAGATCAGTTTTTCTTCAAATTTTTAAGAATAAACATATTGATCTATTTTTAAAATTTGAAATACAGTATTTTCTTACTAGAGGGGAAAGTTTATAATTTTCAATTTTGCCTTTTATTCGTCCAATTCATCTTAACTCCTTAAGGTAGAGTTCCTAACTTTAAGTGGCTTTCACCCTGAAATGTACTATTCTACTGTCTTTCTTCGTTAAATTTGTATATACTTTATATAATATATAAATTATAATATTATATATTACATATATATAATATATATAATTATGCATTGCATTAATCTCCAGTGATACAGAATAGTCAGCCATGTATAACACAATAATAGAAGACCATGTTTAATGCACTAAATAAAAATTATTCAGAGTCAAAATTTAAATTTTATTATTAATCAGTCATATTTGTAGGAATCTAGTTAAACATTATGATTCATAATTTATTTTTATTTTGAGCTTCACTAATTAAAACCTTTATTTTTCTTTTTCTTTGTTTTTCTTTCATACAATGCATCCCTACTGCAACCTCTCTTCTCTTACTTCCTCCCAGTGCCTCTCCACACCTATCTCCCCTCCCCTACCTTCTCCCCCAAATCCACTACTCTTGTGTTTCCTTTCAGAAAAGAGCAGGCCTCCAAGAAATATCAACCAAATATTAAATTCAAGTTAATAAAACTAGATACTTTCCCTCATATGACGGCTGAACCGGACAATCCTATGCTAGGAAAAGTGTCCCGTGAGCAGGCGAAGGAATCAGAGACAGCCCTCAGTTCCACTGTAAGAGTCCACCAAAACCCCTAAAACTTCTTTCCTTATTTCACTTAATGTTTTTGCATTTTCTAATTGAGAAGTAGTTTAG